TGTGTGTGTGTGTGTGTGTGCGCGAGCGCACGTGTTCATGTGCGTGTGTGTGTTTGAGACAGGGTCTCACTATGTAGCTCCAGCTAGACCAGAACTCACAATGTAGACTAAGATGGTGTCAAACGCACTGCCTGCCTCTGCCTCCCAAGTGCTGGGACTGAAGGTGCATGCCAACATGCTTGGTCTGAGAGTATTTTTAGAACATAGTATGTACAGTATTTGAATAGTGTGATGACTTAAATACAAAATGACCCCCATGTGATCATGTGTCGGCAACATGATTGTCAACTGATGGGCTTCTGAGAAGTTTTGATGCTAAGAGCTCTGGCCTAGTCCCTTGACATACTCATTTTATCATGGCGCTGGGAAAAGTCTAAAGTAGGAAGCCAGTCCTAGGTAGAGGATGCAGCTCACATCTTGGCGATTCTTCTTCCATCCCCTCTGACTCTTGGCCATCATGATGTACCCTGCTCTTCTCTTCTAAGCAGTACAAGTCATGATGGACTAAAACCTCTGAAACACTGTCCCAGAGTGAGGACATGGCTCTTCCCACTAAGGTGCCTATGTCAGGTATCTTGCTCCAGGGATGCCAAGTCCAACCCACTCAAATCAGGCTCCTTACTGAGTTATCACTGTCTCCTGAGACATCATCTTGCTCGTGCCTGGAACGATGAAAGCCTCAAAACTTGGAGTGAGGAGCAGGGAGTCCTGTGGCTTAAAGTATGCTTTGTGGAAGTGGGTAGATGGCTCTCACACCTGGCTGTAGAATGCATGCAGGAGGAAGAAGCAGCAAGGTCCTCAGAGAGGGGCACAACAGGACCAGCTTTGAAAGGGCTTGCCTGTCACTGCTTAACTGGAGCTGGACTACTGTTTTCTAAGCTCTGTCAACTGAGACAAAAGAAACGAGAGGCAAGGAGCTTCGGGGTTAGCTGGAGCCACAGCGTTGGCACCGACAGTGGGTGTGAAAGACGCAGTGGAGTATCAGAGGATAAAAACCAGGGCTGGAGGGATGACTCTGCAGGTAAGAGGGATGACTCTGTGGGTAAGAGGGATGACTCTGTGGGTAAGAGGGATGACTCTGTGGGTAAGAGGGATGACTCTGCAGGTAAGAGGGATGACTCTGTGGATAAGAGGGATGACTTAGCAGGTAAGAGGGATGACTCTGCAGGTAAGAGGGATGACTCTGGATAAGAGGGATGACTTAGCAGGTAAGAGGGATGACTCTGCAGGTAAGAGGGATGGCTCAGCGGGTAAGAGGGATGACTCTGCAGGTAAGAGGGATGACTCTGCAGGTAAGAGCGGTGACTCTGTGGGTAAGAGGAATGACTCTGCAGGTAAGAGGGATGACTCTGCAGGTAAGAGGGATGACTCTTCGGGTAAGAGGGATGACTCTGTGGGTAAGAGGGATGACTCTGCAGGTAAGAGGGATGACTCTGCAGGTAAGAGGGATGACTCTGTGGATAAGAGGAATGACTCTTCGGGTAAGAGGGATGACTCTGCAGGTAAGAGGGATGACTCTGTGGATAAGAGGGATGACTCTTCAGGTAAGAGGGATGACTCTGTGGGTAAGAGGGATGACTCAGCAGGTAAGAGGGATGACTCTGTGGGTAAGAGGGATGACTCTGTGGGTAAGAGGGATGACTCTGTGGATAAGAGGGATGACTCAGCAGGTAAGAGGGATGACTCTTCGGGTAAGAGGGATGGCTCTGTGGGTAAGAGGGATGACTCTGCAGGTACGAGGGATGACTCTGCAGGTACGAGGGATGACTCTGCAGGTAAGAGGGATGACTCTGCAGGTAAGAGGGATGGCTCAGGGGTAAGTGGCTAAGAATGTTCACTACTCTTTCAGTTCCCAACACTCCTACCAGGCAGCATACAGCTGCCTGTAACTCGAGTTCCAGGGGATCCAATGCCCTTCTCTGGCCTCCATGAGCGCTGCATGATCACAAATATCTACCATTTATTGATCCCAAACTATGGGTCAGGCAGTTTCTTCTTTCAAACTTGGCACCACAGCCTCACAAAGAAGGGACTGTGATACCTATTCTACAGATGCGGAAAGTGCGGCACAAAGGGAAAACCTGTCATGGGTATAATTGCCGATTGCCAAATAACGATGACCAGAGGATATACTGCTTTAAATCCACGATGAGAATTATTGTCACAGCCACTGCATTTGGCAAGCACTGAACTTAAAATGGTGCACACTTCATTTTCGAGGCATCCGTCTCGGGCGTCACGAGACTTGAGACCAACTTGAAACCTAGCGTCTTCTCCAAGCTACTGAGAGATTTGTTTTATGTGAGAACCAAAGGTACAATGGTCATTTTACAGAAAAAAAGCAGAGGGCTGTGGCATTCCTGGCAGACTACGCAGCCACAAAAGTAGCTACCCAAATTAGGATGCCCAAACAGCCAGGGCTGAGTTCAGCACTTATGGTTTACTAGGTTGCATACTCAGTTCAGACAGGCAGGAGATGGCTTTACCCACACCCCTCAGAGGAGACCTGGTTTATTCTCTGTGTGTGACATGAGGACTTCACTATATAAACAGCTGCCCCCTGCTTTCTCACCTCAGTACAGTTCAAGGTAAATGTTCAGGTTGTGATCCTGGGCTTCATATCCTGGCCACACTGTGGAGGCAGTTCTAAAACAGTCATCCTTGGGCCCTGCCCCAGTCCACTAAAGCTGAATCCAGAATTTCTGAGACGTGAGGCTCAGGGGCCCATAGTTTTAAAAAGCACCTGTAGGTAATGCCATTGTGTGGCCAGACTTGGAGATTGTTCTATTATTCTTATTCTAGAACATTCTTTCTCTCCTGCCTTTGTCCCCATACCACCCCAAACCCAAACATTCAGCTTTAGAACAACCTTAAAAACCATCACACACACACACACCCTTCTCTGGGCCTGGCCCAGCACTTGGCTTGGAACAGGGATGATGGTCTGAAATTCCAGAAAAGTGCCTTTGTCCCTTCCTGTTTCTCTGGTTTAGTCTAAAAGAGTCAGTCAAACAGCAGTTTGGACCCTAAAGGGACAGAGGGTATGACAGTTCCAGGATTCTTCTTGTGACTTTTTCAACACTTGATTGCCACAGGGTTTTCAGGGGAGGGGTGCTTGTTAGTGGTGTTTATCATTGACTTGAGATCCACCTGTGAGCATTGGCGATCGGATGGAAAGCTTTCCTGGCAGTCTGGAGCCAAGGGGCAGGATATTTTTTTTCCTTGGTCCTTTTCACCCTACAATACCCAACAAATACTTTTGGGATTTTTAAGACATAAAACTTATCATCTGGAGTCAGGAGACTCCAGGTTACAGAATCATCAAAGACAAAAAACGTCAAAGGTGGCCACACAGTGACAACGCCACACTTTTTGTTGTTTCTAAAGCAAAAATCATCTCAAAAGCTAATGAGAATAGAACTTTCTTTTTTTTAATCTATGGGATAAAATTAAATTAACAACAGTCTAAGGGAGACAAGTAGTATTGGCTTAAATGATTTTGGTCAATGTGCTTGAATTGTGATTATTTATGGGGCTAAGCAGATGAAAACAAAGTTGAAAAGGAAACTCCCCTTGCTATAAGGTTTTTTCTGCTTTTTCATGTTTATTTATTACACATGTTACCTTTTCAGAAGTGGAATAAAATGTAATCAATTATCCTGTATAGAGCAGAAAGAATGGCCGAAGATTAATAAATTCAATCTATTAGTGTTTATTTTGCTTTTCAAGTATGAAGTAACAGGAAGCTAATCTCTTCCACATTGCTGAGCGAGTTCACAGAATGGTACATTCTTTGCTTTTCTCTCTCTCTCTCTTTAATAGCTTTCCTGTTCCCTTTTGTGTCCCCATCTTCTGTCCTGGACCCCTTCATTGGCTTCCTGAGACACTGAATAGAGGAGACTCCAGGAGGTCCAATGCCCAAGAGTGGAGCCAAGGGGACATAATAAGCCAGGAAAAATAGGAAAAAATTCAGTGTCAGATGGAAGACTCTTAGTCTGGGCAAGGAAACAGACCAGATTAGAAAACAATCAGACTGGCATTTTCCTGACCAAACGAGCTTGTCTCTCCAGCAGATCTGGCCAACTGGGCAGAACAATCTTTAAGGGAATCAGAGAAGCCAGTGTAAGGGAATTGCTTGGAGGCAGCCATTGTGAGCGGAGCAGGAGGGGCCTCTCACAGGAGTAGCTGCAGCTGCCCCAAGCCTCTCATCTGACTGCCAAAACTTCATATTCCTCTACCTGGGAACTAGGCCTTTCCTTCCTGGGTGAATGGCAGAGAGGAAGCTGCAGACCACAGATAAGATCACATCCCAGCTTGTGTGTAGTGGGCCCTTCTAAGAGTGGGAGGAAGGGAGCATGGGAACCAAAGGAGGCTTTGGCCAGACAAGTCAGTCAAGACCTTGGATCAGGGTCTGTGGCTTCTAGGGACTATCCTGAGAACTGAACTGTTGGCCTGAGCAGGCCATAACCATTTGGAAATGGGACTATGGTCACCACCTCTGGGCTTCACTCAGAGGCTATAAATACAACTGGAATGGTGAGCACATGATCGGGAAGTTTGGAATCTCCACTCCTAACACACAGTGGTAGGAAGAGATGCAGGGACCCTCATCACTCACCTCCTGGTGACCTCCTCTCTTCTCACAAAGCTCATCCCATGCTGCAGGATCCACGAAGGCAGCTGAGTGGTAGCCGCTGCCTCCTGACCATGTCTGGTGCAATTAAGTGGACAAGATCTTGAGCCAAGTGGTCAGATACAAGTCCAAGTGCCTCTGCTTGCCAGCCTGTGATTGTCAGTAAGGGCTCAAAGGTCACAAGTGACAAAACCAATTCTACATCATTGAGTCCACAGGAAACTTACATGCAGGGCAATGGCCAGGATGACCCCTGAAGTCTATGACGCAGGAACTTGGCAGCCATCCTGCCCAGAAGCTGTGGATCCCGAAGCCCTCCCCAGTCACTTCCACCATCGATGTGTCTCTTCTTTGAGTGCCAGGAAGGAGAGCTTGTGTCTTTGCATTCAAGAAAGGGGAACACAGTGATTAATATTCCTCCAAGCTGGCCACAGATTTCTAAGAGAGGGTGCATGAGGGTGTCTTCAGGGAGTAAGTGTTCATTCTTGGCTCACTGTTCAAGGTCCAGTTATCTTGTCAGGCAAGTCACAGCATCAGGAGCTGTCACATGGCATCCACGGGCAGGAAGCGGGGAGAAATAAATGTGTGTTCAGACAGCTTTCTTCTTTTAATTCAGTCTAGAACCCAAGCCCAGGAAGTGGTGCCACCTGCTTTGAGGATGGGTCTTCCCACTTCAATAATAGTCAGCATTATCTGTCACTGGTATGCCTGGAGGGTTGTCTCCTAGGTGGTTGTGGAGCCTGTCAACTTGACAACATTAACCATGACAGTGGGGAATCATATTGTGAGCAAGAAGAGATTGAGCTGCAGGTTACAAAATTCCAAAACATCATTACTCTAGCAACATCAGATAAACTCCTTTCCTTGCCCAAGTCTCTGGTTCCTCGTCCGTAGAATGGAGAGGTTAACTAGTAATTTACCAAGAGCAGCTGCTGTAAAGAAGTGATGGAACGTTGGAGGGCAGATGTTCAGTGCTTGGCTGATGGAGTTTCTACTAATTCTTCTTTTGTTGGTGTGATAAAATACCATGCCTAAAAGCAGCTTTTGGAAAAAAGGGTTTATTCTGCCCTAAAGTTCCAAGGGGATGGAGTTCATCATGGCAGGGAATTAGGGGATGCACAGAATCCGGAGCGTGAGGTTAGCGTGGCAGTTAGGAAGCAGACATATCACATGTCACCCACACACAGGAAGCAGAGAGAAGGAAGAGAAAGTGGAACCAGGATATAAAACCTCAAGTCCACTCCCAGTGACGTACTTCCTCCAGCAAGGCTCCACCTCCTAAAGGTTCCATAACCTCCCTAAACAGCACCACCAGCTGGCGACCCAGTGTTCAAATACCTGAGCCTATGGGGGACATTTCAAACCACCACCGACCTCCACACAGCATGCCTCTTGTTGCTACCTTGAGATCTTGGTTGACCCAAATGTGTTCAGAGGTCTCTAGCTGGGTGACTGATTTCTGTCAGCCTCTGGAAGGGCTGGGACAATGCAGGATGGCCTGAAACAGTCTCTGTGGTCACCATTCCTGCCAGACTCTATCTCAGCAGGGACAGGGACATGACATAACTCTTATGAGATGCCTTTCAACATTACTGCTCCTTGTCTTGGGGCACCCCCAGAAGAGGATC